TAATCGCTTATTTGTTACAAGTTGCTTATACACAGCATGCGGTAATTATTTAATATATTTTGATAAATTAAAAATAATATAATGCAATTTAGTTGATTAATACAAGTTATATTTTTATTTGCATATTTTATTAATTATTAATTATATAAAAAAGATATTTGTAAATTAATATAAATTAAAAATAGATAATATTTTTAAAACAAGATCACTAAATTATAATAAATTGGTAATTTTTTGTATTATTTTTGTGTAATATACTATTAATTATTATTTTAGTTTTTAAGTATTATATATTATAATTAATATGAAAACGTGATCATGGTGCTATTTATTAAAATAAAAAATTATTGTTAGAAATAAATACATTGACAAAATTCATTTCTGTCAAAATTTAATAATAAGAAAAATATAATCTAGAATTCAGCTTATTGTATTTGGACACACCAATTGTTTCTATATATTTTGCATATATAATATATGTGATTATTTAACCAATCAAATCACTTGAATAATAAATATCAAAAGTAAAAACTAATCGATTCCACAATTTTATAATTGTCATTAGGAAATTTAATTACAAATATTATCAAGAAAGACCTAAAGTTAAATTAATAGTGCTGGTCAATGGACCTTAGAACATGATTTTTAACCAAGATTTTTCAAAATTCAACAATATAATTGGTTAGAAGTCATGCAATAAGGTTCATTGGTTATGGTGCATAACATCTTAAGTCATCAAACGTTGTATTTTATAAAATGTATAAACTTCTCAACTAAAAAATAAATACAAAATTTAATCCGTGAATAGCTCAGAAAGGGCTTATTCTATCATATTCACGGATTAAATTTTGTATTTACTTCTTAGTTAGAAGTTTATACATTTTATAAAATACAAACGTTTGATGACTTTAGATGTTATGCACCATAACACTGCTGAGTCAATGACCTAGTATCATATTTGTGGATTAAATTTTGAATTATTTCCTATTGACATAAGTCGCACCGATTCTGTGAATTCTGCATGTGCAGTAAACTAGACCGATATTTATTTAAGTAATCTCAGGAAAAAAAAGATGCTTAGTCACGGCAATATCGAGGTAAAATAATGATAAAGTTGCATTTTCTACTATTATTTAACCTTGATATTGATCAGGTAAAAATAATACTTTCGACCAGTAAGTGTTGGAAGTAGACGCATATAACGATTCCAGTCCAGTCCATTTACATATCGATTCCGACATCTATTAAAAAGTTTATATATATTACGTAATTTACGTAATGTATATTGTTTTGAAATTTAATTTTAATTATGTCGGGTAAAATTCTCAAAAGAATATTCAGAGAAAATCGAATACACATGCGAAGTGGGAAACAATCAGAATAGATAATGTAATCGCTGCAAAAAAAATACGATCTTAAAGTAAGTGATATTAGTAATCTTAACTAAATAGGAAAACCAAATGGTGTTTAGTGTTGGAAGTAGACGATTTGAAGTGGACACATGTAACCGAGTTCTACATCTAGATACGTTCAAAACACAATATGACCAAATCTGTTATGTTACGTAACGCAAATTATTTAATATAACGACACGATAACGATGAAGTTCAATTATATCGGGAATTTTCTTTTAGAAGTGAATAAATACATCAACAAAATTCATTTCAATAATTACCGCATGCTGTGTATAAGCAACTTGTAACAAATAAGCGATTACATATAAATACGTGATACTTAATATAATAAAATACGTGTGATAAATTAAAAAATTACTATGAAAGGGCAATGTCACAGGTTGCTTATACACGGCAAAATATGGCAAGTATTCTTAACATTAAGATCACTGGATCACGAGATATCCATGTCACATAATAACGACAACAATTTGATCACATTATCTTTTTTACCATTATAAAATATGAATTGAAATGGACTTAGTCCCATGTGCTGATATTGGGAATACATGTATATTAATTTTAATTGCAAAAATCTTTTAACATGAAAAATATTAATGTGACAGCGACTGTCTTTCAGTAAGTATCATGTAGGAAGTTTTTTTAAGATAAAAAACCTTATCTAAGATAGTAAAGATCTTATTATAGTAAAAATCGATGAAATCGAGATTAGATGAAGCTGTTTAATATGTTTGACCTGCTAACATATTAACACAATAGCAAAATTCAATATGTATTGTAATGCTTGCATATATATACGTTCTCTGAACTCACCAAAAAACTTGATTTGAAAATATCTGTAAAAATAATTTTTCTCCGAAATCATTCTTTATAGACATTTAGTGTCACTTATCTTTGCACTTGGAGTATAACTACATTAAAACTATACTCGATAATTTATATGTTACAGCATCTCATCGTTCGAAGTGGTTTTTTATCTTAGATAAGGTTTTTTATAGTGATAAGTGCAATATTAATGTATACAGTCGACCCTCTCTATAACGAACCTCTTTATAACGAACTCTGGATATAACGAACCTTAAATTTTATATTAGTTCGTTATAGAAAGAGTAGTGGGCTCTATAGAAAAACATCGTGATTTTATATAACGAACTTTTTTTACTAACAGAACCATCAGTTCGTTATAGAGAGTTGACTGTACAATATTAAAATGAATATTTGATTCATCCAATATCATTACAGATAAAGCAAAATCAAAGATAATAAAAATGTAACGACTGATGCTGAAATTAGCGCATTCTATTGGCTGATCAATTTCTATTCTCTAATTTCATTGATTAATCTCAGCATCAGCCAGATTTCAGCATTAGCTGTGACAATAAATAATAGAAAAAAAACAGTACTTATTATTTTAAATTTTTATTATTTATATATATTAATTTTTTATAATGGCATTTTTATTTTATATATTTTTATTTAAAATTAAATAAATTTTTTATAAATCCAATTGAATAATTACAGTGAGTATAAAAGTACACTATCCTAACAAAAATCACCGGTCAATGATCAAATTTATTAATAAAATATAATAAAAATTGAAATTTTCTCACTATATTAAAATTAAAAATTTTAATAATAAATATTTTTTATTTTTATATTAAAATGTAGATAATAATTTGTAGTTTAATGTATTTTTTCTGGAATTTTTGAATTTAATCTAGAAAAAATTTTCTAATTACAATGTCAATACAAAAATTTTATAATTAATTTTATATTTTAATTATAAAAAATTTTTGTATTGACATTGTAATTAGAAAATTTTTCTAGATTAAATTCAAAAATTCTAGAAAAAAATATATTAAATCACAAGTTATTATCTACATTTTAATTTTTATTATATTTTATTAATAAGTTTGATTATTGACTGATAGTTTTTGTCAAAAAAGTATATTTATAATATTTTATTTATTTTAATAATTATTATATTAATTTAATTAATTTACAAAACATATTTATAAAGATCAAATTAAATAATTGTAAAAAATTAAATATAAAAAGTAATTTGCTAATATTATAATAAATAATAACTAAATAATAAATATAAAAAATATAACTATAAATAAATATAAGTATAAAAAGATATAACAATATACAATTTAAATATATTAATAATAATAATATATATATAAACAAAATTAATTCATTTAATAACAAATAAAAAAATTTAAAGATCAAAATAATATTATAATAAAAATTATAAGCAATAATAATATTTAATAATAAATAAATAAATAAGTTATATAATTTAAATTTTGCATGATAATAAATCAATAAAATTTGTTGTTACTTTATTATTCAATTTTCAAATATTAATTAAATTTAAATTGATTATTATATTCATTTCAATATTACAAAAATTATTTGATATCTTGTATTGATAAATAATTATAACATTTTTCTATAATACAATATATTGATAGAGCTATCATATTTTTTCAATATTTTTAATGAGTTTAGTATTCATCATATTCCAAACTCCATAATTACTATTTGTATTTTCAACAAAATTGGGATAACTAATTAAGTGACACGGAATTTGTTTTATCTTCTTAGTTATTGTTGAATATCGCAGTCAAGTCTAGATAGATACTTAGCAATTTCTCCTTATTTCTCAAGAACACGTTGCAGTATGTTCCGATCAAATGTCTGTCAAATTCTTGTTTTTGATTTCGAATATCGAATACAAATCTCCCTTTTCGATTATCAGTTGTCAAGATTATTCATGCTAATATAATGAGAGAAATTCGTTATAAATATAGCCTACGAAAATTTTTTATCATAACCATTAAAAGATACATATAAAATTTATTATAGTAAGGGGTTTTGGAAACACGCAAATTGGAACGAGAAAATTATAGAGGCTTACTTGCCATAACGAAGTATAAGTTTTAAAACATCTATAAAGTTACTCGAAAATTCAGGTTACGGTAGCACAATATCGAATATGTGAAGAAAATTTTATAACGATGTGACGTTCAATATACATGGGATGTTTCCATAAGTATCTGATCCAATGTCCCGCAGAAACACACGCACATAACACACACACGCAAAAAAAGACAAAACGATAATTATTAGAACAACAATAACCTAAGGGGCTGTAAAATCATGCAAACTCGGAAACTAAGACAGGAAAAACCATTATCAATGATTACTTTGTTCGCGACATATAATTAATTATGGGCGTAGTTCATTGTTTCTCCCATTGTTATAAATTGCGACGTTTTCCAGAAAAGACACACACTAAAATTACAGATTCGCATCTGATTCTCAAAGCCACACTTTTGAACGTTGCGTTCGGTTCAAAAGCTTAAATCTCTCGTCGCTATTTTTTCATTCATTCTTTAATCTTTTCTCCTTCCGTGTATCAATTGTCGAATTCGATATTCCGTCCCCTCCTTAATAAAAGACGTACGTACGAATTCTTCTTCTCGTCGTTTAATATTTCTTTTCTTCCACATTTTATTGTAAAAAAAAAACGCAAAAAAATAATAATGGACGAAGAAGCAAGAAAAAAACATTGCAATCTTTTAATGTTCGATATTCCCCTTCAGAATTCACCGAATATTTCTAATGGCCAAAGAATAATGATCGATTATACTACTTCTTTGGAGAATAGTAATATCCGAGGTGATGACAATTTTGTCTTTACTTCATTCGTTGAGCCGATTAGAATTAAGAAAAAAAATAAAAATAAAGAAAAATTCCACGAAAAAAATATCGAGCTGTCAATAGAAAAAAGTACTTCTTTCGTTAATCCATCACCATCAATTCGACCCCTTTCGCATAATGATTTTGTGGATGAAACCTTTAAGCAAACTTTATCATCGCAAAAAAAACATATACCAAGACCACCGAATGCATTCATTCTCTATCGCCGTGCTAAGCAGCCAGAGGTTACAACAGAGCTGGGACATATTTCAAACTCTGAAATCTCTCGAATTTTGGCCAATAAATGGAAAAATGAACCAGAAGTGGTGAAATTAGATTGGCAAAAACAAGCGGACCGTATGAAAATGGAGCATGCACAAGCTAATCCTGGTTACGTATATTGTCCGAAGAAATCCCCATTCAAAAAGACAAGCAGAAAAGGAAATCGAAATACCAAGAAAACACGTCAATCTTTGTCGCCTTGTGCGGCTTCAAATCTTGTTAACTCTTCTTCCTTCATCAATAACGGGGAGATCATTGATAAAGTTGTCAATAGTAGCGAAGGAGACCTTACTTTCTTATCAACTTCGAATAATTATCATCCTTCATTTTTTTATCAAGATCCATCCACACATTTATCCTCTCCATCTTCAACCGATTCTTTAACTGAGAATGATCATCAACAATCAACCATTACTCATAACGATGAGTTATTTTTACATAGCGACAGTGATATGAATACTCTGGATGACTTTGAACTGTACCTTTTACAGAATTTGCATTCCCAAGATGTGAATAATTTATCTCACATGCAAATTCAGCAAACAACACAATATAATATTCTCCACCACTTATAATACAAAATCAAGATCTACTCTCTTCGATCATTTCTAGTGTACGTTATATAAAACATAATAATAATATATAGTTACTTTTAATAATAATATTTTATAACATGTATTTTTGTTTTTTTTTTATTATATTAATTATTGTTTTAAGAAGCAGGCCTGACAGAAATTAAGACAGTAAATCATAAGATCTTGTGAAAATATAATGCGCATTTCATTTCACTTCACCTTTTCATATGTTAATGATTTCAACCTTCTTTCGCGTACACACATGACGAATAAGATTTTAAATATTTAGCATATAAAACTATCACAACAAATATGACACACCATGCAGTAGTTTAATGTACATGTATTATGCAAATTTACTAATATCTCTAATAAGCTTAATAAACTTGGCAATGATCTCTTGTATTATCGTTATAACAATTATCCTTAGGTATGTATAACTAATCAGTCAGTCCCCTGAATTTAATGGGCAACAGTTTGTTTCCAGTTTTGCAATTTGAATGAATCGTGCGACAAATAAAAAAATACGCCTGGACTAAAGAATGGACGAATCACGGAGTAGAAAGTTTATCCACTAAGCATTCCAGGAAAAACATGCGTCAGTAAGTCGAATATCTATGCAGCGATCTTTATTGGGTTTAATTCGGATGATGTATAAATCCTCTTGGATTAGGCACAATTAAAGCAAATAATATACAATTTAAACCGGTTTCTTGAAGGGATATCTTTGTAGGAAGAAATAGATAAGAAGAGATAAGTAGATTAACAAGGGATAAACTGCCAAAAGGGATAAACAGAACTTAAAAAACAAAGTACAAGCTAAAATGGGATTAAACAAATGTATCTAGACAATTCTAAATTTATTGACGGAAAACGTTTTGTTTTTCTATGTCATTTACTTTACTTTTTCAAACAAAACCTGTTTCTATCAACAGTCAACAGTGAAAGATTATGTGATCCGCTCTAAATAATTTTTTTATACGATGATCATTACATAAGAAATTTTCGAAAATTGTGCTGCTGCACATGCAATAAGATACATAGCGATAGTACATGTAGTTAACTTTCCATTTTCAATTGCATGCATGTTTTTTTTTAATTAAAACCGTGCATGCAATATTGGTATACAGTATACAGTATCTGCCACTTTTTAGCAAGGCGCAAAAGTTATGCATCTGCAAAGTCTACAATAGATGGTATAATCAAATTTGCTTCCCATTCATTCATCCTGCCTTTTTGGATCAATGAGATTTGCTTGTTTGATAAAAAAAAATTAATTGCATGAAGAAAAATTATGAAATTATTCATTTTTACAATTACGGTAATACGACGTAGCCTGTCGAATTGCAAAATATCCAATAGATAAATAAGCTTCGATCGTCGGAAGAACAGGCGCATGTTATAAGGTGATGTGTTCTCTAAATCAGGAGCTTTTGATATTGATTATGTAAATGACATCTGATACCGCGTCCATTATTGTCTGATTTAAACTAAAGAATTGGTTTCTTTCGAATTAAGGATTAATAATCGTGAAGTAATATTGAATTTCATTTTGTAAATCATTACAATTGATATTATATTCAAATTGCCTATAGTAACTAAATTACTGTAGATTCTCGTGTTGGGAACATTCAAAAGTTGTGTTAAAGTGTATTTGAATGACGGTCTTACTTTAGCATTAGAGGTATATTATTTTTTAATTATATAGTATTGGATTATATTATTCAAATCGTAAGCTGACCAGCATTGACATGCATAGCATAATTTATGATTACACTAATGATAATTTCCATTGCTAGTTATTGAAATAACGATAAGAATCTTCAATACCAAAATTTCTTAGAGATCAGCGCGGTTAGCGGTTAAAATTCTAAGACGGCTCCAATCCCTAGAAGTTAATACGAATATGGTGCAGGAAGTCTGTACTCAACAATCCGTGATTTGGTTTCAATTTTCTAAAAAATAGCTATGTTTGACAAACCGTCACGTGAGATGTGACAAAATTAGCATTTTGTAATGCTAATTTGAATTATATAAAAAATTCCATTTTTATAAAGGTAAAAATACCTCATTTTTGTTGAGTAGATTCCCGCACCATATAAATGAGATCTTTAACTTGGGTCCTGGACATGCCCCTATACATAGCGGTATCACATCTTCCACGCAAGAATTACCTCAGCGCAAGTGGTACGTGTATGTACACATAGGAATCCCGTGTGTTAGCAATGCATCTATGTACATGTACAATATAAAATCCCAATATGGTTAGGTACACCCGAAAAATTTTCTTGTAACAAAGACTAATGTTAGGATTAGTGTCAGGATCAAGATTATGTCTATAGAATATCAGTATGGATGGAGTATGGTACAGGCGGGATTATACACGTGATGCATACTGATATTCGCATTGCACTGTAAAATTTCTCACCAACATTTTTAATTAATGCTTTGTTAGGCAAAATCATTCAGTTTTTTGCGTTACACATGATCTCGCGATTTGATTGGTCAACCTTAATGATACAATAGTGTATAGATAACGCGAATATTGAATCTGTGCCTTGTTTGAGATCACGGGATTTGCAACATGTGTTACATCATCAATGCATATCTGGAATGTGTGCCAGGTTAATAATAAGAATGCACAAATTTTTAATCAAATAAATAAAAATACAGAGAACTTTCCCTAAGTGCACCCCCTTGGGAAAAAAGAAAAATGTGCATTTAGGGAGGGTGTGCATTTAGAAGTCATATACTTGGAACTGAGCCAGAGTATGCATTTAGGAAGGATATATTTAGTGTGCATTTATAGTGTGCATTTAGAGTTCTTTATATGCAAATTTTTGATCAGTTCGACACGAAAAGAGAAAAATGAATGTCGTATTCTTTCTCTAATCTCTATTCCTGACTCTATAATCAATCTTTGGGTAATTATAACTGCGTCACCATCCTGGCACCATTTCAGATGTGCCAAACCAATAAGAATGCGCCAATTTTTGATCAGTTCGGCAAAACAAATCCGACACAAGAAAACGAAAAATGTGAAAAATACGGGAAGCAGTGCCTAAATCTAACTTGTAGCTCTAGTCAAAAATGTCAAATCAACCTTTAATAGTTGTCGACACACATGATTTGCGCATTTATTGATTTGTTATCATGTGATCAGGAACAGAGCACAGATTCAATAGTTAACCCTCTTTATTTAGTATCAATACCTCTTTATTATCAACATTTATTGCAGAACAATTTCACTTGGACTAATGTATACTAACTCTAACCTCTGAGTTATCAACCCTCTTATATATCAACAAAAATGCCTGGTCCCGTCATGTTGACAATAGAGAGGGTTGACTGTATTCACGTAAATAACGTGCTTGACCGTGACACGTAGTATTCTACTCACTGTAATTCTTACGCAATGATTACGTTTGGTGATGTTTTAATGAAATTTTCTGTAAAAGACTGAGAAAAGGATACAATAATAGATAAAGATTAAAAAGATGTATTTTTATTATTAAATTAGGATATATAACATACGTCGATAGACTTCATTACCGTTATGACCGATACCCAATCAAAAATATAAAAATGAAAAACATGACCTGCCATATTTTTCCAAAATGGGGATTCTTATTTTCGATTATATAGTTAATACAGAATATTTTCTCAAATACGTATGGCAGTGTTGCACATTTTCTATGTCCCAAGCATTTTTGAAATTGTCCCGTCCCTACTAAGTTCCAACTGTCCCAACTATGTCCCGTGACAATACTGCGTATGGATCAGATTATTGATTATTGTATATTATTATGCGGAGAATTTTATTATATTGCTAATTCATGCCGACGGACTAGATTAGGCGGACTAATAAAATAATATCTTGATACATGTAAGCTCAGAGTAAAAGAGTAAAAAAATCCGATAATACAAGTGAGTTTCACCACTTCGGGATATTAATTTAATCACCAGCAAATGTGAATATTCTCAAAATGTTCACGTAAGAATAAAACATTTGGTATAAATACACGAAAAAGCTATTACGAGTTTTATAAAAAGATAAATGGCAAAAATATATCAATAAGATGGAAAATTACGGGAATTAAGACAACAATAAAGATGAAAAAGATATGTTAAACAAAAATTTAAAGAATATTAAGTCCACAATTATTAATAATTTTTTATATTTTTTGTAGATGTGTACAGCTCTTAAGCAGTGTTAAAAATTTGATGCTCGAAGTGTTTTCGGAGAACACTAGATTATATTTGAGAACATTGATAAGTGTAGAAATATTCTCTTAACTTGATATAATACAGTCATATCTCCTTATAATCACGCACATAGTAATTTTTTGCTTATTATATAAACTTAACAATAATGGTCTCATGTATAGGTGTGCTTATGTATGGTGTGCTTATAGATGAAGTAAGTGTAGAGAGGTATGACAGTATTATTTAATAGTTTTAATTAGAGAACAAAAATCATTTTTCTAGAAAACATCAAGTATGCGGAATTTGAAATAAACGCAAGCCATTGTATGATAAGCAAAATTTTTTGTAGTGATAATTGAACCCGAAAAAGAAAATATACGAAGGAAAATATTGCACATGAAAAAAATAGTATGAAATATGAGAATATAAAGAGAGCCGAACAATAAAAGTCATATTCAAAGATATGATTCGTGAAGTATATTGGAAAAATTATTTTGACTTTGATTTGATGTAAAAGAATGGTTGCCAAAGATACTAATAGTTCCATTTAACGTCATTTCCGTCATGTTAAACTTTATATGTTGATGCAGCTGTGGTGGTTGTTGTGGAGGATGAGGTGGTTGTTGTTGGACTTGTAGCGCATTGTGGGTTTGATTCATTTTAAACCTGCTAAAATTGATGAAAGACAAAAAAATTATAGCTACTTAAATAGATTCTTGAAATATAGAAGCTTTTTTCTCGAGACCAATCAAAATAATTATCAGCGAATAAAACAATGTTTCATTTACGAGAGTAACGCTTTATTAATTAACGCCAAAGTAAATGTGCTTCAATTAGGGGCTTGCGAGTAAACAATGTTCCTTCATTCATTGATTCTTTTTAAAAACGTAAATTTTTTACTTATTTCTTCCGTAGAATCAAAGTACCCGAGAAAGTGCAACATGAGGCCCATTAGCTTGAAAAGGAAAAAATATAATGAAAATTTGCCTGACTGCTACAACATATATTAAGAGTTTGAAGAGGCCTCTTTATATTCGGAGTTTAAGAAAAATTTTTTGCTCTTATACAAATCGAAATAAAACGATTGGCGATTATGTAATAGTTCCCAGAATTTGTAAAGTACCCAGATACAGTTCACATAGAAAAAGTGCTCCCTTGAAATAAGCACCATAATGTACTCGTTTTTTTTTAATACTACCACTGGATTCTGATTACAGTCAAGATCCTTTACAACGTCACTGTATACATCGGATTCGGCTTATACCATATTGATATCCCGATTTTTACGATTTTTAACTATTTAAAAACTCCCTATATACCGAAGTTTATAATATAAGCACCATATACCGGAAAAACAAATCCGAAGCACGAACAGGAAAATTTACGCTTTAATCTATCTTGGAGCATTAATTAAAAACGACTGGAGACAATTTTACATATACTCTAGCCCCCACTCTAACCCTAACGCTAAAATCAACATTTAACTATGATAAACACGTGTCACATGACTTGCAACGCTTTTAGCGCATCTCCTTTACGGACTTGACCAAAAATACCTAAATAAATTAATTTTCAATCCGAAGCCGACCCGAACCGTTCGGAGCACTAGTCTTCGTTACAAGAAATTAAAAAAATCCTTGACATTTACAATTATAGGTTCAGCTAGATTTTTAATTCTTAGGCATACATATTCTTAGTTTTTTAATTCTTAGGCATACATATCCTTAGTTTTTTTTTGATAATATGGGGAGACTCAGTAAAAACCAAGCAAATTATATATATAGTACGGGACAACATAAGATATCCATTTTTTATAGAAGCGCCAAATTTTGATAGTCATTATATAGTAATGCTCTATTACATGACTTAATGCTAGCCAATCAAATAATTATGTATCAATTTTATGAAACTAAAATTTTATAATTTCTTCAAGTTGCAGCTTTACTAAATAGCTATCAATATGTAAAAGAATTTTTTATTTTAATTCTTGGTTCAAAAATTATAAGACTTTGTATAAGCATGTACCGAATTTTCGACTCACATATAAAGTAGGCAATATTTAAACTGTAATAATATTATCAAAAATAAAAATAAAAATAAAAAATTCCTCTTCCAGAAATGTAGTTTTAAAGAGGGTTTTTTTATTTAACAATTTATTCAAAAGTTATAACACTTTTTCGTAAGGCAATTAAAATTGGATATCTTATGCTATTCGGTACTGTATAATTTGCTTGGTTTTTACTGACAGTCCCCCCATATGTCCTATTGATACTATTATAGGTGTTTTTAAATTAGAAACAATTTACAATTGAGATGTGATTTTTGTTTTCGGCTTACATTATCATGTTATATTAAGAAGTACAAAAATACATAATTCGGATCATAATAATTAATCAAATTATTACAAATACGTTTGCAATTTACTAAAATCAATTATATTTTTTTGCTTATAAAAATTATATTAAATTGGTAAACCAAAGCCTAAATTTCAAAGTTTATAAAAAATCCAAGCCATTTGATTAAAATTAAAAGATTTTACTTGGATTCTCATTTATCAATCAAACCAGTTTGTTGTTTAATGGTGGTGAAATTTTATATGATAATATAATATACGAATGAGTAAAATCATTGGGTGCAACATAATATTTGCTGAATTCGCATTCATTCTGAACAATTCATTTTATGCTAATTATTAAATAAATATAGAATTCTAAACAATGAAAATGAATAAAGGAATAAATAAGACTTTATAGAAAAATGTCTGAGCATATAAAAGTTTCTTTGAGTAATAATCGCATGAGATAATTAATTAAGCTTTCTTAGAATGTGTAAATGCAAAATTTAAATATTTTTTAATGTTACATTAATACTATGATCGGCATAAATTTGCATAACTCAGCATTTAGCTGCGGCAAAAGTATTACATAAACAATAAATTATCAATATCAAAAATGGAAGGTATTAAACAACTATTTTACATAACGATTAAATAAAATTATTAAAGTGACCCATAATCATATATACTGTTCTGAATTCTTAATTCAGAGAATCAAAGCAAAAGTCTATTGTCATTACCGCGGATTATGTACAACGTGCCGCGAGTCATAATTGTAATAATTATTGTTATAATTATAATGATGCGAAGGAAACACAGGCGATGAATATAGATCGAGAACAGCTGAAAATTCAGTAAAAAACATTTTTTAATAAAATGAAATTATTGATTAAAATCAAATTGCAGTTTTTATTATGGAACATACCTCGTATACATATGGGTCCTCCTCCGTATATTTGGTGAAAATAATTCCAAACACGTTCGTTGACGCCTCTGTAATCGACACCTGATAGAAAATAATTTATAAATATACTTGAAGGCAATCGAGGGACTGCAAAACAATCAATATACCTCGTTTCATTCCGCGTTTTGGATAAATGCCGTTTTCACTCACAAAAGTTGTATTATCAATAGCAGGAGGTGGAAGGCCTATTTTATTATGATGAACAAATTCAATTAGGCTTATATGAGTGCAAACATAATACAAAGTACTTACCACCCAACTTGAATATCTCCCAACTGTATAGCCAAGACGAACTGATGAGATACCAATATTCACCAGGTTTTATTGTGTTAGTATCGATCGCAGCAATGGCATGTTTCTCACGTAACCTTCGTTCGATGAGACTTTGTTCCTCTCGCTATTTCAAAAAGTAAATTTTTCACTTATACTTTATCGCTCAATCAAATTCACGTAAAGTTTATTACCTCGCAGTTTCTGCACATCATTATTCTAGAATTGGATTCAGCTAAAGATGCACCTCCATCACTACCATATTTATCTACAAGAGCAGAATATACACTTAAAGGAACACGTACTACCATATCGAGCACATGAGGATTTTGTATTAAATTGACTCCTAGATAACAATAAATATTAGATATAAGAAAATGGATTCATGATCAGATTAAAAATCCGCAATAAATAACTATAGTAAAGAAAATAACAACCTCCATGAGGACACACAAAATCGAAATTAGAAATAGGACCAGGCTATAGAATTAAATAGAATACATTAGGATTCAATCACAATAAATTAAAAAAAATAAGATCTGTACGTACATTGCTCAAAAATTCCCATCTGTTAAACCACAATCTAGAGATATAGTATATTGGTTCAATTTCGAACTGTCGTGATCGAAAAAGAACATGTTAATGATAGCAATTTGATTATAAAAAATAAGTTTGTTATACTTGCATTTGCATTAATTTGAGTTTTAATTTTTTGCCTTTCATCATCTTTCTCTGGGCTCTTTTTTCGATAAAACAGAATATATGCTTCTGTTCGCGAAATTTCCAGAGGAGTTTTTTTGGTTACATACTTTTAAATATATCCAAAAGAATAAATATTAATAAAATAAAACTATTGATACTTAACATTATCAAACATTGTATTTGCTGAGAACTTACCGTATCATCAAATTCATACCAATTATTGTCGATTGGATTCTTTGCATATGCAATATAATGCCCACCTATTATATAATAATGACATATGAACATATAATATAGTTCTTGACAGAATTTTCTACGAAAAAAAATGCACCTCCTAACCCGCCCCTATGATGCACTAAAGCATATAGATCATATTTTGTGACTCCTATAGATTCATCATTTTGATTATCGTGCATATCAGTATTTGCTTTTTCCCGATTTTTATCTTTACAATAAGGTCGCATATCCAAATCTTCCATCGGGAATTGGACATGTGTTGTAATTTTCGAGGAAAAATAATCACGACGGAAGCGTTTCAGTTGTATACACAGCGTCTTTCCAATTTGAAACGTGTTAGACAAATAAAAATTAATAATAAATCTTTTCAATTAGAATAAAAATTAATTCTACCTCTGGTAGCCGTTTTATTCTTAGCGTCTTTTGACAATCATTTAATTTTTTACATCGATCGCATTCATAGCGGTTGGCGCCAGTCAAATTTTCTATCGCGCAAAAAGACGCAAGACAATCTTGCAATCGAAGATTACGATTACCTATACTATAATAAACTGTCGTGAGTGATTCAATAACGTGGTGTCATCTTTCTTACGATATTTATTACTTACCCTAACCACCCAAAGAAACTAGAAGCATCTCCATTCTTATCTAGAGCCCTTATTTTGTATTTTTTATCCATCTCAATCGACAAGTCATAAAAATTCTCTTCCTTTAAGAACTCCTTTGACCAAAATTGAGTATTAGTTTCAGTATTATCATCCAATAATATCCAAAGAATACAAATCGTATACCTTTTTACAATGTAGACATTTTATACGTGACTCTAGAATTCCCTCAAAAATATCACTGATAATACTACGAGGTGATGAGTGAGGTCTATGAACCTTTTCCGTGGTTGAACATTGTGTTGTTATCGAAGAAGCTGATGATGAACTACCGCCTATTATATTACCATCGTTAACGCCACCTAGTAAAGTTATATCTAATAATCCAGATCCATTTATTCCTTTTCCATTTGCATATGTCGTCGATTGATGCGGATATGGAAGTTCCTCATGCAGTCGATTAAGAATACATCCCAGGAATTCTTGAGAGTCCTTATTATGCATTAGAAAAATTTATTAATTAGGATATCAACTTTCACAAGTAAATAATTGTAGTATAATACAATCAATACCTGTTGCCCATAACCTTGGAAAATTTCATTGTACTTTTTTACTTCGTTAACAAGATGAATTGGCGCAAATATCGGGCTAAATAAAATCTGTTTCAGTTTTTAAATTGCCAATAGATCATTCATCTCTCATTTAAGCATAGCATAGACTTATTAACAACCTATTTCCATTCCACAACGCTTTCATAAAATGAAGAAAATGCTCGGCTAATTTGTATGTGGAATGTTTTGAGCGTGGCAAATACACCTCGCAATAATTAAAATAATTTGCTAATGCCGGTCTGTAATAAGGAAGTTAAACACTTAACGATAAGTGACAATTACAAATACAATTATATGTTGTTACATGATTTATAACTTTATTACTTACGTATTACTTAATGCTTGTAATGCAGCATTCATATCTAAGTTTAGAGTTGATTCAGGAGTAAATTAAGTTTAAAGATAATATAGACAAAAAAAATCATTTGAAATTACCTACAACACGTATTCCCGAGGTTTTTTAGGCCAATCAGTCCTATAAAGAAAATATTTTACATTTAAGATTTTTTCAACGAACTTTTCAAAGAAAACGAAGATTTATAAATAATATACCTGGAACATCCGTAATAATTTTATCTGCAGTTGGTGGCTGTCTGTGGCGTTTTCCTTGCTTTAAAAAATGTGTTTAATAATAAATAAAATCCAATAAATCATTAACACAAAAAATACCAGGCTTCGTATTATTGTTTTTAAGTATGTACGGGCTTCCAAAGACAACATTTCTGATGGATTAAATGGATTCAACTCCGTTCCACAAGCATAGCACCATATTGTTAGGGAGCGTGGATTTACGTAAATAGAATGGCATGAATCCGCACGATTTTCCTTATAACATAATAGTATACAATCAAAGAGTAAATTTTGTGATTCCTTTATAACATACCAGCATAGTTACCCCCGTTTCCCTATACATACCTTATGTGCCATATCAAAATGATCTCGCGTATGTGTGCGAGTGCTAGTAGAGCAAATTACGGACCTACAACGGCTCTGAGAAAAATAAATAGATTTTCTATAGTTGCAGTTTTAGTAACAAAAATTAACAATCAAAAATCAAATTGACTTTTAAAATTTACATGCAAGCACACCCATAGCCTTGGTATTTTTGTATCACAACGATCACAATGTAGGGTTCCTGTGGCAACTTGTTTCTATAATGCAAGAAAATGGAATCAAGATTTCTTATAAAAGAGAAAATATATTTCGAAATACCTTGAAAGTACTAGAGTCTATTTTTGCGAGTGGCACGTCTGTCTTTATTATTCTGTTAAGGTGAGGACAGGCAACCTTTCTGGAAAGCTCTGAAGAATGAGAAGTATATTCAACGGTTTGCTGTCCCATAACATAAAAAGTCAAGAAGCATTTGTCTGTTTGTGTAACAAAATTTGGGTATTATATGGAGTTGGAGATCACGAGATGTTAGCTCAATGTTAAATAGCATGAGTTTGAATTTGAATTACTAAATTAATAACCTTGTGGTTAAATTAAGGTTGGTTTATGCAGCAAATTACGGTAGTGATTTACTGCGTTTATTAATTTCCCCCAAGTTCTGATTGGTTAACTGCACACCGGATCTTCTAAATTAACCAATAAAAATAAAACAAATCTGATACAAGAAAATTAAAAAGATGAATAATGTGAAAACGAATGCTTAAACCTGGCTTGAAGCACTAATAAAAAAATGTCGGGAAGACAATTTTATATTAAAACTTTATTCAGTTCTAATCCTAACCCTTAATTCTAATACTAAAATTAATCTTTAATATCCTCAATCAATTAAAGTATTTTTCAATCTGTTTGGTTAGAACAAATACAAGAAAATGCTAAAGCAAGATAGTGAATTAGAATGCAATCTGGATCTAATTTGATTCGAATCACATGATCTTCATAAATATAACAGATTATTACAAGATTTGAATTATTATTATTTTTGTTTTTGTTTACAAAATAATTTTAATTTGGAGAAAAGAAAAAAAAGAGAAGTTATGTTATAATACAGAACATTTAGTTACATCCTACTATATTACAGTACTGAATTTTTGCTAATTATTTATTTATAATTCAGATCAAAATTATGATTAATGCTAGTAAAAATTAAAAAATAAATTATAGTTAAATATCTCTATAATCACATTGTTATGATTTAGATTTTCACTAAATCATAAAGTCATGTGCCATTAAAATCTTATATTCTTATTGGTTATATTTT